TTTTTTTTCAAGAGATTGGCATAAATAAGTGGGATTTCCTGGTCTTTTTCTAATTGTATAATTTAATTTAGTACAGAGTTTGTAAAATATCAGAGTATCTATTGTTTCTACGACATGGTATTGCATTTATATCTTTTTACTACTCCAGTGATCTGTGATGGCTGCAGCAACTTTGTGTTTTCTTTTTTATTGAAATAAAAAATGAATTTATCATTTAAAAAAAAAAATGTAAAAAAATTGACTATCCTAAAGATTGTGTACAGAATATTCCGTAGTGGTGGGATATAAGAATATTTGCTTTCTTTCTTTCTTTTTTTTTTTCAAAAAAAATACATGAGAGTTGTATTTTCTGTTAAGAGTTTAAAAGATTTTTGCTATATCATGGACAAAATGTAATCGTATATTAATTTTGTACCTACATTGTGCAATACTTGATAAAAACAAACGGTATAACAAAGTATTCAGAGTCAGTGTCTTACATGTTAAGAAAGACTGATGGTTTATTAAGTTTGTATTAAAAAGCTTGAAAATAATTGCCCTGATTCACTTTGTCATTGCTCTTTGTGGTTCAGTTGGTGAAGGCGAGTGCACTGAAGTCACTGGTGCGTAGCCGTGTCATTAGCGAGCATGAATAGTGCTTTTAAGTTAGAGATTGCAGGTTTCGTGTCTACAACATAGTTTCAGGAACAAAGTTGCTCTTACACATGACATTTCAAAACATTGTTTTATTTCCTCTGCCTGTAACGCAGATATGCTAGTACACAAGCAACACTGCTAACTCTTGGCACTTTTTTCTTTTTTCACGCCTTGCAGGCTTGGGCTAAGTGCCATTGCACACACGTTTAATGCGAGTGTGACTCTGTCTACCCTGATAACCTCCTGAACCTAAGCTTAGGCTCACATTTAAGTCGAGGCAAGATAAACCAGTCAACTGGATTCTGAGGTGTACTCTGCACAGCGTGGATAGAAGGCAGAAGAACCTTGGATACGATGAAAATGCCCACTTGTAGATTAGAGAAATGATGTGGCATATTTTGTGGTTCAAGTGAAAAAGCAGAACTGCATAATCAGTGTGATGAGGCAGACATCAGTCATCACTTTAACTGTGTAAACTGAAAAACCGAGTGAAAGATATGTTTGTTATTTACGTTTTACCCAGTGTCTCCAAGGATGTGGGCTGTTAATGGGTGCTTTTGGTGCAGGGCAAAAACATTTTATGTAAATAGACATATTAAGACAGATCAAGTGGACTGAAGCCCAGAAACCACTAAAAAATATAAGGTAACTCAAGTCTTTGGATTTTCAGCTCATTACAGTTTTGAATTTGAATTTAGTTTGGTAATGTCAAACTAGGAAAGGCAATCGGATGATACCCCCACATAAATTAGAATATTTACAACGATGGACGTGTAATTATAGAAAAAAAACCCTGATGTCTAGAACTAAAAAATGCATCAGATTTAAGGACCAGTGCCTGGGTTGCCATTACTGAGAGCTGTGTCACTGCTGTTTGTTCTGATGAGAGGTTGCTGAACTGTATCATGCCAGCACCGACCCTGCTGGCATATCTCTGTCCCTCTGGGGCTACCTCATCATTGCTTGTCTGTCTGCATGTCCCCTGATACACTCGGGGCTTGATAGGCAGTGCAAAGTTCAGCGTGTATGTTGGTTTATCTCGGCCGCTGATACAGGCTCTGGTGGGAGTGTGTTTATCTTGGTACGTGACACGGTGTTTGTGCACAAGTGTTGGGTCATTCTCAAAAATACTGGGGTGGGGGCTGGGAGTCTGAGCTCCTGCAACAGAGGCAGAAAGGAGGCGTTAGTGATATCAGCTCCATCTTTATCCAGGATTTGTCATGGTATACAAAGCATGAGTCACTGTAATGTGTGTGGTTGAGATCAGAGATGTCCAGTAGCTGGAATGAAAGGGAAAGGTGCGCTAATGCCAGTCAGTAGTTATTTTCTGCTACTTGTTTAAATTAGGTTCGCTATTTCTGCAAATACATGCAATCATAAATACACACTATCACTCATCACTCTATCAAGTGATGTTTAGTTTGTTAATGATTACTAATAATCATATCATGAATGCTGACATGCACAAAGGCCGTCAGTTTATCATGCACACGATTGGCCGTTGTCAGTAAATAGATGGACCACTGAACTGACCAATGTTACAGCTCTAGATTAAATTATTTCTCACATTTGATTCTAAAAATCAATGTCAAAGTCATTCCTTCTAAGACAAACATACTTCCTAGACTTTCATGATGCACATTTGTTGCTTCTTACTTATCATTTGATTACAAGTTGTAAATGGATTCATTTGATTGAAGAGCTCAGACAGAAAAGTCTAAGTCCATCTGACGCGTTTTGTTTTTAATAAGCGTTGTTTTTCTTTTAATCAGGCTCCTATGTTATGTTAACTGTAAATGTAACTTAAATTAATTTATTGGCTTTTAACAAATTGGATATTCTTTTGCAGTCCATGCCTCTACCACAAAAGATGCAACTGTTAACACTGGAAGTCATTAGAGCAGAAATTAAAGCGAAACACCGAAAAAGCTGTTGAGCAAAATCCACAAGATGACATCGTAGTTCATTGCTAAGTGACAACACAAAAAATAAATGATAAACTGACAAAAAAAATAATAAGTACACTATACACTGTGATCAATGTACTTCAGTGTATCAGTAACTATAAAACCTGTTGTCACGTCAAGTAAGTTAAGATACGAAGCTGGCAAACAGCATTACAATAGCAGTCTGAGCAAACTGATAAATCCAAGCTGACCTGGTTGAACGTCACATGATGTGAGTTGTGTCTTCTGATTAGTGGTGCTTTGGCTTTTGCCGACAAAAGGTGCCATTTGGAGTTTTATTTGCCAAAATTTCTTGTTTTGGAAGAGGTTCACTGTGGGATTTAGGGATATTTGAAGCTCGTATGAGATTTTTGCGTTGCTTTGCTTTTATTGACGGCTTTTACATCCGAACTCTTCAGTTCGCTTACTTAAATTTAAGTTTTGTAAAGCAACATCAGATATTTTGTTTGAGGACCGACCAAAGACAGCGTGAGGGAGTGTAATATATTTTACCAACCAAGGGAAAATTCAAATGAGAGTGAGACTGGGATCAGAATATAACAGAGACACAAAGAGAGAGACGAGCTATGTGCAGGAAGCAGTGCGACAGTGAAATGTTGCCAGCACCACTATTGATTCAAACCCAGTGCCAAGCTCACCTCTCAGAACCCCCCGCCTGCTTGTCATAAAAACAGGTGGAGTTCAGCCCAGCTTGTGGTCCCCTCCACGAGACGGTGATGTGGGGGAGCAGTTAATGGCTTTTCAGTCCAACTCCTCTCCCCGTCTATTTCTGGAAGCATGCTAAAGCTGATTGAGCAATGATAAGCTGGAAGGAATTGCGCTTTCCCCCCTGAACATCTCTTCACTACGCCTTATCTGTATCTCAGGAAAACAAAGCATATCAGCCCGACATAGAAGAATGTAACCAGAAGAATGCACGATGTTATTTTTGTCTTCACCGAGCAGTTGCTAAGTTTAAAATGAAATAAAATGTTTTAGAGGTGAGAAAAAAGTATGCAATGTTATTCTTCTTTTATATCTTCACGTTCAAATCTAGAATGAAATTTAAAATCCTTCCCCTCGCACACAAGGTCTTGAGTAATCAGGCCTCATCTTATCTGAAAGACCTCATTTTACCCCAGTGGAGCACTTTTCTCTCCAACTGCTGGCTTACTTGTGGTTCTCCGGATATTTAAAATTACAAAGGGAGGCACAACCAGCTCCCAGTTTAGATTCTGGAGGCAGACGCCACCTCTACCTCTCTGATCTCTACTGACCCTGAAGAACGGCAATCACTTTGTGTTTTTACACCACTCTGCATCTAATTCATTAGTCATTATTAATCTCTGGCTCTAGTTTGTTTTTGGCCTGGTTTCCCCACCTCACTCCAAACCGGTCTTGGCTGGTGGCCACTTCTCAAAACGTGATTCTGCAAGAGGTTTCTTCCTGTTAAAAGAGAGTTTTTCCTTCCCACTGTCACCAAGTGCTTGCTCAGAGGGGTTTGTTTGATTGTGGGGCTTTTCTTTGTATCACTATAGGTGCGGGTCTTTACATTTCATTAAAAAGCACCTTGAGGCAACTACTGTGTTGTGATATGAATAAAACTGAAATCAAATTCATTTTAGTACAGAGAAAGGGACATTTGTTGAGTCATTTAGCAGGTGACGTCTAAGTATTGGAAGCACAGTTGCCTTCAAAGACATTTGGGCTGTTTTTAGTGGGCAGACAAAAGCAGTTTACATTTTTTTTTCTAAAGTATTCTTGTGCTACACTAACACACTGCACAGACGCCCTTTAGCTATTTCAAACAGCCACAGTTTTAGCGTGGTTAATGTACTGTATATAGTATACATGCCTTTTTAGGAATTGCATGAGCTGTTTCCATTGCATCTGGCATCATGAGTGACAGATACATTGTGCACACGCTGCCACATACACACACACTGTGAGCTATATTTAGACTTTCTGATGCATAGTGGGCTGTCCGGTTTGTGTTGTACGCTGCAGATC